TCCTTCCTCAGCATTGAAATGAATTTTATTAAGATGACACTTTCCAAAAATGGATATCCTTTGAACATTTTGGAATCCATTATGAGTAATGTCATTGATAATTTTCATAAGGTGAAGACGCATTGTGTTAAAAAATGTCCAATTTATTTACGTCTACCTTATATTAGGACAGAAGGTGAGACTTTAGCTAGGTGAATTTCATGTTCCATTGGTAAATGCTATTTTGCCTCTAATATGAGAGTAGTATTTTTTACTCAGCTGATTTTGTCATCCATTTGTAAAGATGTTTTACCTCCACACCATATCAACTGTTATGTATAAATTTGAGTGTAGTTGCGGATATGACTACATAGGTAGAACGTCTCAACGTTTGAATTGGACGTCAGAATTAAACAACATTTACCCCCCAGAATTTTGAATCCATCCGCTAGTGGTAGTCAACTGGTGAATACATCCGCATGCTATAAACAGTAGGGAATGTGTGTATGGTTTGAGTGTTGACTGTTTTACCATTCTGTCTAGGTCGCACTCAATATTTCACCTTAAAGCATTGTAGTCCATTTACATTAGATCTCGTAAGCCTTCTCTCTGCAAACAGAGAGATTGCTTGTTGGGTTTGAATCTGATTGGACTCTAGTGGGTTGTTTTTCCCTCATTGCCTCATTTCATCATTTTAGTCCTCTAAGATATACACAGAAAATAAACTTGATAGGATCTGGGTCGAAACCGGTCATTTTAGTTTTTTTTTAAAATACCATCAAAAACTTACTTATTCCTTGCTGTTATAAAATTCTGTATCATTAAGAATCTGTTCAAATATATATATATATATATATATATATATATATATATATATATATATATAGATAGATAGATAGATAGATAGATAATATTAGTGGAAAATATACATACATATGCAAAATATATATAAAAATATATAAAATACCCATACATGTATATTTTCGGAAAAAATTTTTCCAAGAGGAAGAATCCAGGTAGAACTCAATGTCTAGGACAGAGTAAGGATATAATAAAAAGGCTTAAACACTAATATTCCATGGTCATAATTTATTCCATTGGAATCGTAAATACGATCCAAATCATCAGACCTACAAATTCAAAATGAAAACAGAAAAAACAACTCCGGAAATCAAAACAGAATTTAGAGAAAGTGTAAGTATGAGGAGGAGGGAGATGAAACCTTAACAGAGAGAATTTTAGGAGATGTGGGGGGTGGAAATTAAAAAGAGGAGAGAAAGAAAGTCGACGGATGTCTAATGCATAAAGATACATTTCGTGGTGACATACACACACCATAGACAATTAGAAGTTAGGATAGGAGGTAGGGGGAAAAAAAAAAAAAAAAGAGAAGAGGTGGCGGAGAGAGATGGGACGAAGGAAAATAAAATTGTGTTTACTTAAAGGTCCGCTTTGTAATTGAGAAAATTTGACAAATTAATATCGACTACGGGTTAGAAATCAAATATAAATATATGAAGATGAATATAACGATTGTCTAATCTAGCAAGGACCAAATATTTCTATGTTCAAAAACACATACTAATACACACAAAAACATATACAAGTAGGTACATACACTTAGGCATGTACTCACACACACGCACACACATACGTGTACACACACATATATATACACATATATATATATATAAAAAACCTAAAAATATAAAAATATATTCACACATACACATATTCATCTATATTCATATACACACACTTTTCACATACATATACACGCATACACATGCCCCCATGCATATATTCATACATACATACATACATATACATACACATACATATACATATACACATACATATATATATACATATATATATACATATATATATACATATACCCATACATACACGTACACACACACACACACATACATATACATATACACACAAATACACACAAAAGTTATATATATATATATATATATATATATATATTTATATATTTTAATAAAAGTTATATATATATATATATATATATATGTGATAAAATGTATATACATAGACACATATAGTAATAAAATACACACACACACATATATATATATATATTTATACACATTTTATTACAATATGAAGAAATATAGTCTTAAGGTGTGCTATATTTATGGGATAAAGTGCTCAATATCAGAAATAGAGCGTGTGTAAATATAAAAGTGAACATAGAAGTCAACACTTAGCGGCGACAGTCTGTTTCATGCTATATGCAATCATCAGGCTACGTGTGCTGTTATTTTTCTCAGCTATTTATACATATATGGGTCAGTGGTGCATTGTGGGTAGTCTATTATGGCGGTTATTTTACCGGAAGTCGTTTATTTATTTATTTGGGTTAAATTACTTTGCTTGTTTTTTATTTAATTTTATTTTTTGTTTCTTATTTTATTTATTTATTTACTTATTTTTTAATCGGTGTTTTTATTAACGTAGTAAAAAATTATTTATATCACTTATTTAATAGTTTTGGTTTGGTTTGAGAATTTAATTAAAGCTATTTGTTTGGTTTTTTGGTTGGTTGTAGTTTATTCTAACTATTATTTTGGCAGGAACAATTTTTAATTTGTGTTTATTTGGGTTGATTATCTTTATTTGTTTTTTCTAACGGTAACTTTATTGGGATTGGTTTGTTTATTTATTTATTTACTTGGATGAATTTAGGTCAATTTATTTTACTTATATATTTTCTCTTTTCGGTTTTCGATTTTTAAGTAACGTAGTATTTATTTATTTATTTTTATTTTATTTTATTTTTTTCTTATCGTTATATAACAGTTATAGCTATTTTTTTCGTCCGCTTTTTGGTTTGAATTTTTAGTCTAACTAATATTTTGGTCATAATGGTTTGCTACTTTGTTTATTATTTACTTTATTTATTTGGGTTCATTGTTTTTTGTTTTGTTTTTTGTTATTATTATTATTATTCTATTTCCTCTATTCTAACAGGTGTGATTTGGTATTTTGTTTGGATTAATTAATTTTGCTTATTTTATTGTTATTTTGTTTACTTGTTTATTTATTTGTTTTTATTTTATTTTTTCCTGTTTTCAATTTTTAAGTAACGTAGTAAAAAAATTGTTTTCATATCTGCATTTTGACATGAGCTCAGATCTTTTATTTAATAATTTATTTTGGTCTGGGAAAGTGATGATAACTATTTTTTCCTCCAAGCAAAGTTTGCAAGTTTTTGATTGGTTTTTGTAGGCTGATGATCTTTTCCTTATTTTCCAAGATATTTTTGGTGTGATGTGCATTTTGTTTTTAATTTCCCAGATATACTTAGAAAGCATTGTACTGTTCGCATATTTATGATTTGTGAAAGATGTTTTGTGTGTATAATTTCTTTGTTTCCAGGGTCCTTCAGTTACTCCTATGTATACTTTTTCTTCATTATCTGGTGATTTTATCGTGGCTTGGTATATTACGTTGTTTTGTAAATGAAAGAACGAATGTCCCTTAAACGGAATACGTTAATAAAAACACCGATTAAAAAATAAGTAAATAAATAAATAAAATAAGAAACAAAAAATAAAATTAAATAAAAAACAAGCAAAGTAATTTAACCCAAATAAATAAATAAACGACTTCCGGTAAAATAACTGCCATAATAGACTACCCACAATGCACCACTGACCCGTATATGTATAAATAGCTGAGAAAAATAACAGCACACGTAGCCTGATGATTGCATATTGCATGAAACAGACTGTCGCCTCTAAGTGTTGACTTCTATGTTCACTTTTATATTATTTTTATATATATATATATATATATATATATATATATATATATATATATATATATTGCAATAAAATGTAGATATATTGTAATAAAACAGACATTTTAATGAAATGTATACACATTGTAATAAAATATATTTGTATTTATTATAATAAAAGTATGGATATTCTAAAAGTATATATGCATTGTTATAAAATGTACATATTTATATTGAAATACAAATATGCACATTGTAATAAAAGGTATATCTATAGAAATATATATATATAAAAATAAAGGATCTTCAGTCATAGCATTAATTGTTATAAACTGGTTTTTGAAACACCAACTGTAATAATTTTTAAAATTACAGAACAACATTAGCATGATATAATACTTCATTTATTTTATAGACTCATAGTTGTCAGCTAAGACCATTGGAATAATATCACTAGTTTTTTTTGGTTCTTGCTTAATTCAGTCTGCCAAATCATCTGAATACCTCCAACTGCATAGATGGGCAGCAGTACCCAAATCAGAGATTCTGATTTCTGCTGTTGCCAATTTGTCTCTCCTTGACAATATTCCCTTACTTCCTTCCCATCAGGTGACAATTATGATTGTTCCTCTGGTTGTTCTTTAAGATGTATTCATAGTGAAAAGCAAGTAAACACATGTATGCATAAATCACATGACATGATTATGTGCTTTGCTTTCATTGGATCATATTTAACATTAATGCATTACATTGACATGTATTACCTTTAACTTATGACATCAAGTCACAATGCTGACTATATTACAATATACTGACTTTCATTCAGTTAAAACTGGTAATATGAAATAGCTTTTTCTGGAAAATTTAATACTCACAGGACATACTGAAAGCAACAAAGACAGAGGAAATCAGCAAGCAACCTACCTAACAAGATTGTGTAAATGAATGGCAGAACAGGGAGGAAGAGTGATAGTAAAAAGACAAACATTGCTAAGAGTTACAAAGGATAGGAAGTTGTGGAGAGCTGTGATTGATCACATCCCGAAGAGACATGGCACATAGAAGATTGCCTGGACAGTTGAAAGTTAGTTATGTAAGAATTATTTGTTAAGCATTCACTCAGACACATCTTTATTTTTTTTATTAATAATATTTATAGCTTTAAAAATAGAAACTGGATTTAAAAATTTTATTAAAAAAAAAAACCCAGAAAATACAAAGTAATTATAAAAGAAAGAAATTTCTTTACCTTCTTTTTTTGTTGGTTAAAGTTATCTATAATGACACCAATGAAAAGGTTCAAGGTGAAGAATGATCCAAAAATAATAAATAAAACAAAATAAAGGTACATCAAAATTGAATGTTCCCGAATAGGTTGTTGCCCTATCTGTAAAAGATAAAGAAGAAAAATGTTTAATTTTAATGCAACTATAACACATTAAATATTATCATGTATGCAATTCAATATGGCTACCAAAATACAGATGTTCAATGTGATCAGTTTTAATTTAATCAGTGTAAATTTTAATAATCTGTTAATGTAACTCAATTTATCATGGCGGTAGGATTTATTTTAAAAAATACTTCAAAACATTCATTCATAATTATATCATGGCATAGCATATTCTGAGGGTAATAGGGAAATGATAGAAGAATAATTACATCTATATTTTAGCTGCCAATTACATGTAAATGAGGTATATGTATTTAAGTCTTCAGTTTTTGCTACCCACTACTAAGTTTTTGTAATTTTGCTTTCATACAAATGCCCTTGAGAAAGGTATGAATCCATTTCTTCTAGCTAGGAGTTAATAGCAGTGCAGATAGGGATCTCTAACTTTGCTTGGTACCCAGTTTTAAAAAGTACAACTTCGAATCCAAAAGCAGTTGAGCATGAGGCTAGTAACATAAAAACTTACTTGCTATGGAGATCAAAGCAGCAATGGCTTGTACAGTGAGGCTGTGGTCATATAATCAACTGGGAGTCTACAGAGTTGACATAACATATTAAGTGTGTACTGCAAATGTTATTCTAATGATTTTATAGAACTGTATTGAAAATTATTAAGAGAAATTTTAGTAGTTAGGATTTAATAGAATCGGGTCTTATATATATATATAACATTTTTAAAATGAATTTTTTGAGTGGTGCTAGTAAGTGCTGAAACATTGTTATTTATTAATAATTATGTTGTATCAATGCATATGCATATTAATAGGTGCCAGTAATCTGGTAGAGCAGGCAATTTTAAGATATAATGGATGAAAAAATGTTGGTAGAAATTCAATATTCAATGAAAATTATACCTTGGCTTTCACACCTTGGCACAAACATAGAAATAATTGTAGCCTGGGTGGTGGGGATTTTACCAGATTGCACTCTGACCTGTTGCCTTCAAGAGAATGAGTATTTCTGAATTGATTGAATGCCTATACCTTATTTATACTCAGACTGTTGCCATATTCGTGACGTTTTGTCTGTTGTATGCTCCAGCCTTGGAATTTCAAACTGAATCCTTTATTTTACCCACTGAAGTAGATTGTTCTAGTTCCATGTGTCATGCCATTTCTGGATGTCTCACTATCAGTTATCTCCCTTTAACTCAATTCTCCAAGTTTTATTCACTTCAGCTGTAGCCAGGTATTGAACTCACAACTCTTTGGGTCAAGTCACTGGATTCAACCAACTCATTTATCAACTGGGTCATGTGTTCTTGAGGACATCAGTATATAAAATTTTGGGACTTATAGACATAAATGTCTCAGTTATCATTTTTTACCAGAGCTCATACTTCAATTTTGTTGTTATTACTGTTTTTCTCTCCATATTACTCCATATTCTGATTCCCATATTGCATTCATTTCTATGCTTGACTAGCTTAGGAGATTTTTGTGGCCTAGCATATGTGCTGATTCCTTAAGTTTTTGTATTTTCCAGTGATGTCTATTATTTCAATTTCCCTTTTCCATTCATATGGGATCAGCTATGCCTGATTTTTCTATTTCCCCTCATGTTACAGCTACATGCTGTTCCTGCAGCCTTATCTTAAGGAAACAGCTTATTTCTCCTTTATATTTCTTACCACAGCTGCATGGGATGGCATATACACAGTCATTAATCATGTTCTTCTCTGGGACGTCTTACTTGGAAGAGGTGTCTGTGAAGTGTTGAACCACTTTTGAAGGTTGTCCTGTTGGATCACAGATTTTTTATATTTTTTCCGATAATCCCTTCATATAGGGTAGGCAGAGGCTGTTTTCTGAGTGTTGTGTATCCTCTTGTAGCCTTCTATCCCAGTTTGTTGGAGCTGCTGTCATGTACCCAGGATAGTTTTTATGTTGTAGGGTACTGCTTATACTGATCATTTCTTGTTCATATGTCTCTGGGTTGCCACTTATAACTTGTTTGATGTTGTAAGCAGCAGATGATCCCTTTCTTTACACTGTATGGGTAGTGGGAGTTGAAGTTGGTGCATTGTCTGGTGAATGTTGGTTTGTGTTATATGAATGTCTTGAACCCATTCTCTGTTCAGGATATTAGTACATCCAGGAATGCTAATTTGTTGTTTTTTCTCTCCATTGTGAGCTGTATTATCTTATTCAGTTCACATGGTCCAGTAGTAGCTGAACTTCTTGGTGTGGCCAGAGTGTGAAGGTGCCATCTACGTATCTCAACCATAGAGTTGGCTTTAGCAATGTGGATTCTATTGCCATTTCATCAAAGTATTCCATGTATATGTTAGTCATTGCTGGTGATAATGGTGAGCCCATTGCTAAGATTTCATCCTGCCAATATATGTCTGATCCCATACCAAAATGTGTTGTTTGTGTACAGAATGTCAGCATCTCCATCAGGTTATCTATTGGTATACTGGTACGTTCTCCTAGGGATGAGTCTGAGGCTAGTCTGTCCTTGGCTACCAATAGTGTCTCCTCTGTGGGTACCTTGGTGAACAAACTCACCATGTCCAGACTCACCATCTGATTGGGTAGGATGGGAGCATCTTTGATTACTTCCATAAAGTGAGCACAGTTTCAGACATATGATGGCAACTTGCCTATTGATGAGTCAATTATATCCACAGGGAAATAACTCAGAGGGTGGCACAAAGACCCTTGGCAACTAACAATTGGCCTGAAAGGAATACTGTCTTTGTGAATTTTGGGGAGACCGTATATTTGAGGTAACTTGCTGCAATGCTGTGACAACTGCCTGTATGTCATAGGTGAGAAGTGGTCCTTATTCTTGATTAGGATCTGCGACAGTTTTTGTTGGGAATATGGCAACAAAGATGAGGACAACAGTCTGAACAAGGTAAATAGTGTAAATAATTACACCTCAGAAATGCAGACATATATAAATGATATTGCATCACATAATTAATCAAGTGAGAATGTCAAATGAATACCATTAATATTGATAAAAAAGTGAAAGTTTTTATATCATCTGTAGAATATCATAAACTGAAGCAACTTCTGCCTTTTCATATTATTATTATCCTCATTGTGCATAAGAACAGCATGCCAACAAAGTGACCTTGAGGCACAAATATACAAAGCCCAGTATACCCATCATGACACCCAGTCTGATAAGGGTATATCAGGCACATGTGTCACAGCCAAATCTTGTATATGGGGCACAGTTAGAAATACATTCATGTCAGATACCCCAGTTTGCTCAGACAGACTCTGACTGAGAGTATTCCAAAGTATCCTAAATGTGACTTGGCTGCCTTGTCCCTTCAAACAATTCTCTCAATACCTGACCATGATGCTTCACAACCACTCCTGTCCATGGACAGAAGTGCACAGTGCATAAACCCCTAGAGAACTTGCTAAAGGTGTTAACGTACATGTTAATATCTTCAATAAATTAAGAATCTGATTAAAATAAAAACCTTTTGTGCATGCTATAAAACTTAGTTGGTCTTTTTTCATTCTCTTTACTTCCCTTTATCTTATTTCTTTTGTCGCACATGTGACAGAATGGGGGCTTGTCATAAGTAAAAAAAAAGGAAAAGTGTTTTAACAATTTCCTGATACTTTTTCCATAAGTTAAATAACTTGTTGTACAATATTTCTCTATTTTAAAACTTGCTATTGTGACTTTGCTTGTATGTCATTTTCTATTATAAGAGTTTTTGTCTTTACCCAACCTGGGCTAAGCATTTGAATTAAAAAAATGATTAGTGTAACTTGCTACACATTTTAATTTTTATACAAATACTGCTACTTAAAAAGCAAAAATAAAATATATTATAATTAGTTGAAGAAGAAATTTTACATTTATATGACCTTGAAGGAGAAATTCCTCAAAATAATTTACATTTACAATTAGCATTTTGAAAACTAGAAATACAAGACTAAAATTAGAAAAATTTTAAATTGAACGAGAAAAATTGGAATTAGAAAGATTAAAAATTGAAAATGAATATAGAGCAATACAAAATTCCAATCCCATTTTTCTGATTTTGATGCAACAAAAATATTTGACTGGTTCCTAAATTTTTGGTAAAAACCACTAGATAAATATTTTCTGCAATTTTTTCGGTATAAGAAAATTTAAAATGGCCATGCCATTTCTTGCCAACTTTACTACAGAGTGTCTTGATAGGTAGGGGACCAGTAGTACATTCAGCTTTTAGTAATGAAGATGCTTCAAATTATGATAAATTTAAAGCTGTGAATTTTAATTGCTTCATGAACTGGTGTCAGAGGCATATAGACAAAAGTTTAGAAAATATAAAAAAATTTGATAATCAAACTTTTGTGGAATTTCCAAGTGATAAAGATCTTTTTGATCAATGGATAAGGGCTAAGAAAATTGATAGTGACTTTAGTATATTGTACCGATTAACCTATATAGAGGATTTTAAACAATTCATTTATTAATGTATCTTGGAGAGAAAAGTATTAGAAATAAAAATGAGGCAGCAGTCCTCTCTGACTCTTTTTCTCTAACATATCAAAAGAATTTTCATGTAATGGGTAATTATAGACTAAATAAAAATTATAAAAAAAATCAGTAGATCAGTCAGTATCTTAGCAAATCTCTGTAACATTCTAAACCCTGTACAGGTGTTACGGCTAGTCAAAAAATTGTTGTTTTAATAATTATGTCGAAACATAATCAAAAATTACATGTGCTTATTGTAAGAAAAATAATCACATTATTTCTAATTGCTTGAAGTTTAAAAAGAAATGTGCAGCTGAAAGCTCTTTTTTCCTATGTTTTTGTTAATAAACAAGCTAATAAGAAACCTTTTCCATTTAAAAACATCCTGATAATTAGGATCTTAAATCCAGTTCTTTTTCCATGGGGAATTATAAGCCCTTCTTTCACAGGGATTTGTTTCTATTGATGATACTAGCTGTTTTAAACCTGAT